TGCGAGGACGTCCTCTCTTTTTCTTGTTTGGGTCAGGAGGGGGTGGGGGAGGGGGCTCCTCATCCTTAATCCCCAACAGGCCATGCTCCATCCCCTTCTTGACATCTATGGTTACCTGTCAATCAAATCAGTTTGAATGAGAATAAATGAGGGAAAAAATACACTGGGGCTCAGGGCAAATTAGCCCCCGAAAGTCATAAAAGAGCCCTAAAAAGTTTGCACAGAGTTCAATACAAAACAAATTAAAGAGTGTTATTTTCATGCAAGCAAGCTTGAAAAGTAGCCCCTGAAATTGTTTAAATATTTTTTTCCCTGAATGAGATTCAGTGAAGAAGGGTTCTAGTTACACCACACGCAAATTGTACAAGTTTACACTAGAGTTCACTGGCCTCATACCCTTCTAAGATGAAAAAGCTTTGGCAATTTAAGCCATGCCTTTGCTGTTTGTTGTGGCTTTTGTGCCCATGAGACATTTGAATGATACATGATTAGGCTTGGGTAGCAATTACATGGAGCCTGGAGGTTTATGTCCTGGGTGGACAATAGTTTTAGGTATTGCCTGCAGAGCAATTATTGTTGGAACATGCATCATGAAGTCCCTGAATCTCCTGTTTTCTTTTATTTTTCTATTCATAAAAAGTTACAAAGTGATAAAATAGGCCATCTACATAACCTCTACTATGCAACACAAGAAAAATGTAACAAATTAAGGAAATGTTCTTCTTGATTCTACGACATATATGCACCACCGTCAAGTGCTCCAGAACTTCCTCCAGTTTAATTTCTAAGTTTAACCCATGACCCAACACTACTATACCTAACCCGAACCCAGATCTTAATGTAAAACCCAATTGCTAGCCTTAATCTCAGCCTGTAGAGCAATCGTCAAGAAACCTAGTTCTCTTTTGATTTATATCACTGACCTCAAAGAAGTAGACCTTCCCCTGCTGGATGAGGGTAAGGGTTTGTTCATCTTTGTCTGTTGTAGTCTTGACAAATCTTAGCCAGCCCGGGATGGAGAAATCATTGCTTTCCAACTGGTGGCACTTCTTTCCATCGTTGGCAAAAATCTAGTACGCAAAAGAAAAACACCATGTTTGTACTAATAATGAAACTGTCCATCCGTCCATTTATCAGTGTCAGTGTACAAACAGAATGAACAGATCGATCAGAGGACTTAGATAAGTTTTGTGTAGGTTCTTAAGCACCGATTCCCCTCTCTCTATAAACTTGAACGAAAATGCACCCATATCAGGCATGTATACAACACTTTAAAATTTTACTCCATCACCTCCACGTTCGTTCAACAAAAAGAAAGAAAAAAGTTCAGTAAATAACTTCCAAATGTTAACTGCACACAGTAAATGTGCAGCCATCTATACTTACCCCCAAACATGTACAAAATTAATCTGCAAGTTTAAACTTATAATATATGTTATAGCTTTATTTTGTCATGAAAATGTTTGATGGAGACAAGTTATCCTAATCAATTTACATCAGACTCAAGAGTTGGAATCAAGGTCACCTAGTCCATGCCTTGACTAGAATTGTTAGGTGTGTTTTGTTGCGAAAACACAAGACGACCATGAAATCGTCTGCTAGGTGCCGGAAGATCATTAACTTTTATACTTTAACACAAAGTCAACACATTTCCGGCTCTCAGCAGCTGATAAATCAATACATGATTGTGGCTTCTGGGCAAGAATACCACATCTGAAACACTTTTTTCTTCTCCTAATTCTCACCTTCCACTGGCCCATCTCCACTTCTTCATCAGCCCCAATGTCTGAAAGCTTGGCCTTGAATGGTCCATAGCGATGTCCCTGGCTGAGATCTTGTCTGGCATAAACCTTCACACTCGCATCTGTAATGCAGACAAATGAAGAGGATCACATTTATTAATAATCAATAGGTAACGGCAGGCAGATATTACTGAAAAATCAAGTGGAAGTACATAGCCAATCAGGCTTTCTCTAGTATGGGAATAGGAGTCGGACTACTGTACAGTAGAATAGATCAAGGGGTCATGGTTAGGGTCCACCACTCATTGATTTTACATTTTAACTAAACCCTCCAGAACTGAAGATTTGATTTTTTAAGGGGGGGGGGGGGGCACCCTGGTTTTCACTTAGCCATAGAAAATGAGAATTTTGAAACTCAATGGTAAAATTTAAAGGATATAGCAAAGCCATGAAGTTAAATTTATGATCAACCAAACAGAAATTAGTACGGGTACCTTTCCTTTGGGAAAAGATTTTGATTTCTTTTGTTTGTACCACCCCCCCCCCCTCGCAAAAAAAGACAGGGCACATTGCTATTTTCTTTCAAAGAAAACAATACAATTCACAAGGCCTTTCAACCCCAATTATTTGATTATATTTTATCATAAAAACTAGACTCAGCCTCTAGAGCTCTTGTTATTGTCATTTTGTTGGTGTTTTGTTGTTACCGCATCATTGTGCAGGATTATCCTTCTGATTTTCTTTTATTTTTCGTCATTAGGTCTAGTTCAAGACTTCAAGTTTCAAGAAATTTAACTTCCTTGCAATTGTTGCATGCTTGCATTTGCAATTAGGCCTACTTTAATTAAAGTTGAATTTACTGATTCGCTTGAGCTGAGTTGAGCCTTGAAAGTAATGAAAATGAACGGCCCTGAACTGAACTGAAGTTGAACGGTTTACCAAAATTTAAAAATTAATTAGACTCTAATTAGATCTAAGTTAGATCTAAATATTACTTTAAATGAGGATATTTTCTTTGAAGTAAAAGTTCTGCTATTGTGTCCCCTTTGCTTGGGGATTTCGCGTGCTCAATGGCCAGCCATAGCAATTCCACCACCGGTACCCCACCAATTATGCGACCACGGAAAGGCGGGCATCGAGCCTCGAGGAACCCCAGGCGCGGGCCGCGTTTGCATTCCTGCAAGCTGGAAGCTCAGCGTACCGTACGAGGATGGCGCACAAAAAATAACGGTCAATGGAACGAGCCTGATAAATCCCCTGTTCGTCCGCATCATTTAATTAAAATTACGTTCTTAAAATTCACACCATTACTCTCTCAAATATAAGACAAATCACTGATATAAATTAAAATTACTGCTTGAAGTATAAACTGAATGAAATTTGGCTTTATTTCGACCAATATAAGAATAAACTCTTACCGTCAGATGACGCCATCTTCACATTATACACATAATTATTTTTCCCATGAGGCCTCGCGCGAAAAGTGCAAATATAAATTTATAATGTAGTTAATTCACCTTTTATGAATTATAATTATTTTTCATTGATATTATATTCACATGATACTTCGTTTCTGTTTGTTTCATTTTTTGTTGCTGTGATCGATTTAATTTCCGTTTTCGTTTACCTTTCTTCTCTACTTCATAAATTCCGGACATTGACGGAAATTACCGAACTTTCTAACAAGTTCGTCCCCGTAAAGATCGCATTTGCTTAATTCGGACCATGCATATTATATCGACTGGTGGTAAATGAATTAAAATAAAATAAAAATAGAAAACATCGAGAAAGGTGGAAAGGGCCGGGGGGGGGGGAGCATCAGTGCATCACGGTCCCCCATGTTTTGTCAGAAAAGAAGAGGGACCACCAGGGAGAAACGAATCTTTATACAAATGAATCTCATTGGCATGATTGGGAAAACAAAATTGCGCTCTTACCCCTCGCTTATTCACTGGCTGGATGATTCGCAGCTAAATACTTCCTCACGAATTGGGGCAAAAACAAAAAACAAAAATGATTTTAGTATTTACCATTCTGGGATTTCAATTCCTAAAATTCTAAAAAATTCTTGATTAAAATTTTGTAAGATTACTTCAAACAAACAAATAAACAAAAGGTACTCACTTGTTATTGCTGCTGTAAAGGAGGCAAAATGATGTGGGGAAAACATTTTGGCGTCGCTCGACCCAAAACAGGAGAGGAAATGGTGCTAAGGTAGTGACTTCAATGCTCGATGTACATAAAGATAATCTGAAAATTTGAGTGAAAACGGTGATTGATTAAAGATACTTGGGACTCTGATCTGATCAATTCCTTAATTTTCCCAACTATATTTACTTAGTACAATTTAATTACATTTTAGGTGAAATCGTCACAGGGTAATGAATTGGCTCTATATCATTCCAGACATTTTAGTGTTGAAAGGTTAGCCTGATTTATGTCTTAATTTCTTCATGGAAAAACGGTTGGGAAAATTCAAAAATGGTTGGGAGAATTTACTGTCAATCACTGTTAGGGGGGGGGGGGGGGTGGTGACAGTTTCACAGAAAACTATAGATATCTTTGTGGTTTGAGAACTTTTTCAGAATTGTGTGCATATTGGAGGGTTAGTACATTAGAAGGAATATAATAAGCAAATTTCATACAAAAATTAGGCAATTTTTTCATCAACCCGTTCAACAATGTTACTGGGTCACTTTGAAAGATAAAAAAGGCTCAGTAATTTAGGTTAAAAACAATGTAGGCCTAGGCCTATATACAGAAAAAATTGTTTTGGAATAAATTGTTTTGGGAAGGGGGAGGAAAAAATGAATCATAAGCTTCTTCTGTATATAGAAATGCCGAAGGGGGGGGGGGGGGGCATTTAATTGGCTTAATTGGCCTAGCTTGTTAATAAAGTTTTCGGTGGAGAATGGAAAATGCAAAGAATGTCTTTAACACCTAATATATGTGTTACTCCATTGCGCTTCTTTTATTTTATCTTACCTTTATTGTTTTCATTCTATCAGTTATTTTACACATGTAGGCTAATCTTAATAGTACGAGGTTAATCATTAAAAAAAAAAAATATTTGTGTTTTTGCTCTTTTTTCTATTAATTTTGTTTGTTTGTTGTTGTTGTCTTTTAGGGAAGGGAGGGTTGCCAACGTGAAAACGGTCCAAAGATCTCTATGTAGGAAACGAATCACCGTACGACTTTTCTTTCGGGCGAATTGTTTAGCGCAGATCCTCGGAAATTGAAACTGGACGAGATATTTTCGCGGCCGATGACTAGACTTTTTCTATTCGGCATCAAAATAAAGATGGCGCTGCCCATGAGTGAGAAGAAAATTACTGTTTCCTCCTTTTGTGAGGCAAATTCACAAATTCCAGAATGGCTAAGATCAGAACATCTAACAGGGGTAAGTTATGTTAGCTTTTACTTTTTACAATATGAATATAATCACGTGAATTATTCTGTTTTGATAGTGTTTTTTTTTTTTAATGCCAATGGCAATGGCATGCAATGGATGACTGTCAAAAATGAGTGGTGTAATATTTGCTTGTAATTTTCGGTCACTTATGTCATGAATGGGCATGGCCCTGGGCCCTTTCGAAGCTTTAGGCTAATAATGGCAACATCAAATAGGATAATATGAAATCACTAATCCTTAGTTAATCAACATTTATTGTCCGTCCTCCCAAGCCCAAGGATTTATCGCTCACAAGTCGAGTAGGCCTAGAGTCTAGTAGATCTAGATTCTAAAATGCATCCCCAACACGAGAATCAGAAATTTATATGAAACGTCTGCGAAAATGCGGACGCTGCTTATTTTTGCGGACGCGTCTTTCCGCAGTTATGAAGACGATCCTCGTTTATGCGGACAATCCTCATTTTTGGAGTAGCGCCCCTAGTCCCTACTGTTTAACAATAAAAACTAAAATCAGATCAAACAGAAATCGCAAGCCTTCTCCTCGCACTAATTTGAATATCTTATAATGTTGAGCAAATGTCAACCAGCGATACTCCAATGACCAATCTGAAGGGCCCTTGTAAAATCAGGCTGAGACCTGATGAACGCAATGCGCATGCGCTAGATGATAAGCTAAAGTTCTTCGTGCAGGGGCCAATTTCTCGAAATCATCATGAAAATCTAAGTTCGTAGACATCCCATAGAAACACGTATTAAATCTTTTACAAAGTCAAAGGGTTTCTCTTTTTACTTCTCATACAAAGCAATTTGCAGTTGGTAAAGAATTTAACCAAAATGTTCCAAATATATGGATTTTTTTTTTAGTACCAGAGTGATACTGATAGAGCTAATAATAATGATAATAAATAATTCAGACATTTATAATGCGCAACATATCCACCTAGAGGGTGCTCAAGGTGCTTACAATGAGCTACATAATATACTTAGATATAATTTTGTTTACATTACATTACACATGGTTATAAAAAAAGAAGAAGATGATATTAGTTAATACTTTTCATGTGTTTCTAATGATAAATGAGCTGCTTCTATCTCTTTCTTATTTTTCTTACATTACTCTTTGTTTTTCCTTCTATGATTTTATCCTCTTCTCTGCTATCTTTTCCTTTACGGTACTCTTCATTCTTTATCCTTCTTTCATATTCTTAATCTTGTTCTTTCTTTACACTTAATTTATTTTTTGTTTTGAACATTTCATTTTCTCTTTCCGTCTTTCCTGATGTTTTTATTTGATTTTATCCATTCATGATTATTCTAGCATTATTATCCTTCTCTTTGTTCTCCGACTATCTCTTTTCATTGTTATTCTTTATCTGTATCATTTTACCACTTTCTCTTTCTGTCTTTCCTTATGTTGTCCCTTGATATTTCCTCCCCTCTATTTACACATGTTCCTACTTTATATTTATGATTTCCAGATTGTCTTCTATTTCTTACTCTTTTCATATTTCTGTTTTACTTCCAAAACTCATTTCTTTCCTGCAAACACAGTTCACATGCTTGCGTTGGAGCGGTTTAGGAAACAAACCGGTCTAGAAGTTCACAAACTTCTTGAGCCCTGTCATTTTATGGCAGTTCAAGAGAAGATCTAGTTGATTATCAGCTGTTAACTTGTTGTCTTTTAACCTTCCCCATGACTTTAAAATGTTCAGAATTTATAATGTTTTCATTTTCATTGTTTTCAGACTACCATCATGGCAGTGGAATTTGATGGCGGTGTGGTAATTGGAGCCGACTCAAGGACAACCACTGGGTATGTACATGTAAAGCCTGATAATAATAATAATAATATGTAGCTTTTATATAGCGCTCAATACAATGTCTCTAAGCACTTTACAAATATACTATTACCCCAGTCATTAGATTCAGTGCTTGCCCAAACACACCGTGTGCACAATGTGTTACTTGACGCTCAAAAACCGATGCATACAAGGTGTTATTCCAATAAAAACAACAACAACAACATTAACAATAATAATAATAATAAAAATAATAATGAGAAGAAATTAATAATAATAATAGTAACGATAATAATAATGATCATGATTATGATTGCGATAATTAATCTGCAATAGCTCACACAAGCTCTTTGGAGATGCAAGTTCAAACATTTTACCTACAGTAACTCTGCATAAGTAGAATCTGTTGGGACCACAACAAAAAAATTTGGCTCATGCAAAATTCAACTTAGAAAGTGTAACATAACATAACACATGTTTGCTTCTTTTTTTCTTTTTTAGTCCAAAATATTGATTAGACTTGGAAAAAAAATTGACTTGTGCATCTTAGAGTTAACTGTAGTTGTAGAAGTAGTTCAATTGTCATGTGATATGACTTTGTTGTAAGAAAAACATATCGCCCCTCATCAAGTTGTAATGTTAAAAATAGGTCAATCAATGTTAATTTTTCGACATACATGTAAGTGCATTGAGAACTCTCTTTGTCGAGAAGTACTTTCATTGTTTTACATGATATCCTAATCCTTCTTATCTTTCATGCAGGTCTTACGTTGCCAACCGTGTGACTGACAAGCTGACCAAGGTGTGTGATCGTATCTACTGCTGTCGATCAGGTTCTGCAGCTGACACCCAGGCTATTGCAGATATTGTCTCCTATCTCTTGGAGTTTCACAGGTAACACATCCTTTTTTGCTACATACATGTATACTTCAGAGCAACTCCCCATATATTTGGAGATTCTGTCCATAAGTTTAAGTCCATCAAGTATCATGGTATTAACAACGTAATATACATTGAAACTGTTAATTTATTTGATATCTGGGGGGTGTTTCACAAAGACTAAGATCGACTTTAAATTGGACTTAACTATGACAGGCTGTACATGCCACTGTTTTCTCTCACCATTATGATCTTTAGATAATATTTTTTCCTTCAATAATGAATTATCAAAAAAATGCAAATTCTTTTGATTTGTGAGCATGATTTGTACATGCCTTGAAATACCAATGCCAGTAAATTGTGAGAGCAAACAGTGGCATGAACGGCCTGGCATAGTTAAGCCCTACTTAATGTTGATCTTAGTCTTTGTGAAACACCCCCTGGCCTGCACCCATCTATGGTAAGGTTATCATCTTGATACAATCATCAGGTGTACTTGAAGTGGTCGGTAATGCATGGGACAAAATATCTTGGACCTGCCCTGCCAACAAGCAATCAACATGCTTCACCTCGAGTCCAATACTGATTTTAATGATAATGCTTACGTTGTACATTGCATGTTGAAATTGTCTCTAATTCTCTATGCACTTTCATAGTGGATGATACTACCCATCAGTAGTTATCAGTGCATAATGCATGTAAAAGAAATAAATCCTACCTGGTACCTAATTACTCCGCCTAGATGGAGAGTGTAGAAGTCTTGTCTGAGCATTTTAGTGCTATACTGGAACTTGAACCCTGTTAAGCATACAAACCACTTGACTATGTCACTTTGTAGTTCATAATAAACAACAGATGTTTACATTGGATGTGAAAATTGGGGTTAAAATCGAATACAGTTTAGGCAAAGAACATAACTAAATTGGACATCTATCTACTGTGTACCACCTACATGTACTCCAGTGGTATAATGGAATAAGCAGTTTAATCAGATGAATGCTGTTTGTAAGTGATCTAAATCATATTTTGTTGTTTTAGTATATATTAGTAGTGATTCTAGATCATTCTATGTTGCAATTTTTTCTTTGCAGCATCAACCAAAACGAACCGCCCCTCGTACACACAGCTGCCAACCTCTTCAGGAACCGTTGCTATGACTACAGAGACTCGCTCTTGGCTGGTATCATTGTAGGAGGCTGGGACAAGGAGAAGGGAGGCCAGGTGAGACGAGATTTGAAACTTTATACCATGTGGGGTCAAAGGTCATAGAGATAGAGACCATTGCCAATACAGTGAAACCTGTCTATTAAGAGTAGACCACCCAAGGGGCGTGAAGGGGGACAAGAAAAGTGGTCTTTATGTACAGGTTCCTCTAGTACATGTTTCAATGAGAGACCATTTTTAAGAGAAACAAAAAATGTGGCTTTTGTAGACGGGTGGCGACAGGTGGTCGCTAAACCAGGTTTGACTGTTAAATTACGTTACATGAACCTGTCTAACTACTTGATTATTTCCGCTATTTAGTGTATGAATTACAGTCTGAAAATCAGTCAGTTGATAGATTATTTCACATTCTGAATATGTCGAGATTGTGGAAGCAACTACATCTATGGCTTTAATGTGGATGCTCATTTAATACAAGGAGGGGATGAACAAAGATGAATGCCTGAACTTTAACATATAACCACCTTTAAATGTATTTGTTTCTTGTCTTGATCTATTACAGGTGTATTCTGTACCTCTTGGAGGTATGTTTGTAAGACAACCATGTGCCATCGGAGGCTCAGGTAGCACCTACATCTATGGCTATGTGGATGCCCATTACAAGGAGGGCATGAGCAAAGATGAATGCCTCCAGTTTGTGTCTAACGGTGAGTAGGTCCTTTCAGAAGACATGAATACGCTCCATGTCAGTCTTCAGTGTCAAGTGAATGAACGTGATTGTTCAATTATTGCAATTAATGCAAATGTTGTATTCCTATGTGTGTGATGGTGCTTTTCAATGTATGTAATTTCCTGCAAGCTTTTGACAATTTTGCTGCTCTAAAGTCTAAACAATCCATTGGCTACATGTGAAATACTTGAGATAAATTTGAGTTCTGATCTTGGAATTATATTTATGAAAGAAACTGTTTGAAAAAAATAATTATACCATCTTGTCCCTTACGTAAATATCTACAAACATGCAAATTTTCGCGTTCATCAGACTTTCGACGGCCGAGATCATATGGGGGGGGGGGGCCTCCCAGGCCCCCCCCCCCCCCAGTCACGAGGTGCTGAAAATAGCCCAGTACAGTAAGGGTTAAGAGAAATCGTTTTTCAGAAGACGTTTAGATGATATACTTTCGAATTGACATACAAAAAATGAGAAAGCGCACAGATTATTTTTTTGAACATTACCAGAACTCAACTTTCTCATTAAGAAGGTTTTATGGACATCTGTATTCATTAAAAGCATTGTTTAACAATGTTTCCAGTTTTACAAATCACTTTGCACAGCACTCTCTTCACCCGCTCTTTCTTTCTGTCTCCTCTCCTCCTTTTGTAAGGCCGATATCATTTCAAGCTCTGCTTACGATATCGGTCTTCTGCATTCTCCCCCTTTTCTTTCTTTTCAAATACGATTAATTGTACTAGCGATTATTTATATTTATTTATTTGTGAATTACTACTTGTATTACTTATCATTATATTGCTAAAATGTATTCATTGTTATTTTTGTTATTGTTTATGGAAAATGCAGAAATAAAACTTGAAACTGAACTGAACTGAAACTGAGATGCATGGACCTACGTGTTATCAATGTCTGTGATATGGTGTAATATTAAAGCCCTAAAAAAATTAAGCTTCAAAATGATGAGGTGCCTCAAAAATTAAAATTATTTGAGTGACCGGTTTTACCATACTCATTTTTCCCTAATAGAGGAATAGACTGTAGTGTAACAAAAATCGTTGGGAAAATGGTTTTTGAAATTTCGAATTCCAATTATAAATATCTTGATAATCAGACAGGTGATCGGCTTGTAAGAGTCATGGGATTCCTGACTGACCTAAAGGTTTATAATTATGATTGCAGCATGAGCTAAATCAAGAATTTTCTTTAGAATCTAGGGCAAAGATACCCAATCCCTTTAAAAGAGATTGGACATAACATTCTCTCTATTTTTGCTCTTTATCTCACAGCTGTATCCCTGGCCATGTTCCGTGATGGTTCCAGCGGTGGCATCGTACGTCTCGCCGTCATCACCGAGGATGGAGTTGAAAGGAAGACCATCCTGGGCAATGAATTACCTCGTTTCTATGAAGGATAAAAACAACCTGATTTAGAAACGTTAAACTGTTAATGCATTCATCACACCAACTGAAGGGTTTAACTGGGCAAGTCCAGGGTTTTGGGGTCATTTGTCCCGTAATATTGTGAAGTTCTGAACCTAAATTGACATCAACTGCGTCATTTCACTTCATATTCGGTCTAATCCAAACTGTAGTAGGATTGTTAACTTTATAGCTTTTGGATAATGTTATAAAGAATGAAATAGCTTGGACGTCCCAACTAAAATTATAAGGAAAGCATCTTCATGTGAAGTAATTCTGTCCTTTGAAAATATTTAGCTTTTGCAGAAAATGCTTTATGATAATCATATATCCCAACATTCATGTCTTTCTTTTAGGCATTATTATTCCCTTTAACTTTGGGGTGTGGCAATATCATTTGCTACTTAGTAATGAACAGATTCGGTGAGAAATTTGATCACGAAACGCAATTACTGGATAAATTTGAAAGATAATTTCTCTCTATACCTGATAATACTTTGAAAAGAAATGCCCAATAAATATGCTCTGAAACTCTAAATTGTTTCTATTTTCATTTGTATTTGTATCAAGCCTTACGCACACACACAAATGTAAACAATCATTGACCGTTGTTTAGTGATGTGCACAAAGTCATTAAAAACAGTATCCAAGGAAACTCTGATTCACACTCGAGTCATACTGTATTTGGATGGACATGTGCTCTGAACAAGACCCCACTTTCTTCATTTTTGTAATCATTTAAAAAAAAAAACTACAGTTGGTGTGATGATATCATTCTTTTGTATGTATTTCTTGTAAGTAATGTGTTTAAAACATGTAGATAACATGGTCTTGAATGTGTTTGTTGTATTGCATCAGTCCACCTCTCAAAATCAGTCCTCTCAGTTTATGCAGTTTATGCAGTTTAACAAAAAAATAAGACTAGAAACTAAAATTATTAAAGAGGTATTCTAGCAGAATAAGTTTCTGAAACTGTATCTTCATCTCTTTCTTACTCTGTGCTCCTTAGATGTTTTTGTTTCTTGACAGACATTCCTGCGTAAACACCAAATGCATAGAGAAAACAAAACCCATTTAACCATAATAATAGTTAAAGTAATTGGATTTATAAAGATGAAAGAAATTGTAAATAAACTCATTAAGTTTACCTAAATAATATAGGCTTATCAGTATATAGTTTACTTTGCAGAATCAGCCTTACCGGTACCTTAATAATAACTGAATTTTCTCTTTGAGATTATATGCGTTGTTTTTATTTATCACGTCTTACGGAAATGTTCTTGAAAATAAATTGTTTTTTGGACATCACATTCACGATTCTGCTTTGATAATTAAGATTGAAGAAAAAAATAGATTTGTTTGATATGTTTGCAGAAAAATTAAACACATTGGTTGTTCTTTTGGCCAAATCACTGGACAGACTATAAAAAGCTCAAGACTGTGTCGCAGTCCTACATATGATGTAAGAGACTGCAGTGTCATTGAAAAGATGAAACAAGTTGTCAATAAATTCAATTAGTTTAACTCGATTTTGTTGTTCTTTTAGCTTGATTGCTGTGGATGCCATTGCTTTAAGTTCATCCTATATTGGTTTTGAGATGGAGTGAAAAAATGTTGTTCTTTACTCCACATATTTCTACTTGAGAGATGCGCACAAGAAAGAGAGAGAGAAAGAGATGGTGAGATCTTCTTCTCCCTCTTTGTCTTCATCTTTGTCCTCTTCTCCCTCTTCTTCTTCTTCTCTGTTTTCTCCCTTTTCTTCTTCTTCGTCTTCTTGTCTTCTTCTTTTCTACTTCTCTTCCTCATTCTTCTCACCCCCTACATAACTTCCTTTGTCTTCTTCTTCCTCCTCCACCGTTTCTTCTTGTTTTTCTTCTCCTCTTTTCTTTTAACCGTATCCTCGATCCGCCCCTCTTGTCTTAATACCTATACATGTTACACAAACGCATTACGTGGAATTGGCCACTTCGTGATTTCATTTCATAGCCTAGCCATGAGACACCGAGACTGCACAATCCCAACATATATAGGGAAATCTATGGAAATCTATTTCCCCCCATCAGGGTCATAATTACATGTATTTTGTGTATCTTATGTTACCACTGACATGTATATCAGGGGGGGGGGCATTTCACAAAACTTGTCAACAGTGACAAATGACAGTTTAATAAGCTACTTAAATCCTTGCCTCTGATTGAATATCAGCAGATTTGTCATTGAATTTTGTCATTTTTCATTGAAAAAAGGCTTTGTGAAAGGCCTCCTGGTATCTGTATAGGGCTGTCAAATGTTGGTTGTCAGATAAATAAGTCTAGCGAAAGTTATTGAGCTGGAGACATGATGCTGGAGACGAGAGGTCCTCTAATTATGGTTATTCTTCCTGTCGGTTAATGTTTGATGTGTTGTAAAGGCTATAATGTGCTTACTTACTTGCTTAAGTCAGGTCAACTGCCCGAGCTGTGATGGCCTTCCACACATTCCTGTCCAGCATGCCTGCTTTAACCTCTGACAGTTGAAGTCCCGTATCCTTCTTTAGTAGGTCTGTATAGGTAAAATGAGGTCTTCCAGGTTTCTTCTTCCCGTGCTATAATGTAGAGGTCGGATAATTATATTTTAATGTGGAAAAAAGAACGGAAGGATTTATCTACTTTTTCCCTTCTTTTTCTTGTCTCTTTCTTTTCTTTCTTTTTCCTTTCTTTTCTTTTCTTTTGCTTTACTTTTTCTTTTCGCTCTCTCTCTCTCTCTCTTATTTTCTTTTCCCGGACAGCTTAGGAGTGACAGGGCACCCCTAGCTCAGCAACCCCAGTGAAAAGATCTATCACTCATCGCAGGTGCCTGGCTGGCTGGGATATAATTATATGTTACATTTTTAGAGTGCTACTCGATCTTTAGGCCCGTTCACACAATAAGGGCGATTTGGATCGCGACGCAAAAGTCTACGCCCCTATTGTGTGTGTTGGTTTATATAGGGTTTAATATAGGTAGTTGATGAAAGTATGATGTAATCATTAATGACTGAATGATTTATTGACTTCCGGGTTGACTTCTTAGGGTCAAAGAACGATCCTTTTAACAAAAGGAACTTCGAGTACCTGTACCAGCAGTGGCGAAATGATCTGTCTGTTGTGGAGTATTAGACCATGAAACTCGGCAGTCTGGTTAAAGACATCGTTCAACAATGATACAACTGAGATGCATGGCCCTACGTGTTATCAGTGTCTGTGATAATTATGATGTAATATTGAAGCCTTAAACAAATTGCCATTCAAAATGATCATGAAGTGCCTCACAAAAGTAAAAATCTTTGAGTGACCGGTTTTACCATACTCATTTCCCCCAATAGACGTTAGGAAAACGAATTCTGACTTTTCTAATTCCAATCATAGATATCTTGATAATCAGACAGGCGATTAGTTGTAAAAATCATGACACAGGAATGACCTAAAGGGTTGATGATTATGATTGCAGCATGAGCTAAATCCAGGATTATGACTTAAGGACGTAGGTCCCCTAGTTGTTAAGCATAGTAACACATATATGCTTTAGCAGTCACGCAGAACAAACGCTCGCGAAGTATTATTCAATAAAATCTGAGATGTATACTCACTATGAATATGACGGACAAAGAAAGAGGACAAAATATACAGTTCCTCAGGTAGACAAAGGAACATCCCTTCACTGCTATTATGTAAAAATGTGTAGAACAGGTGTTACATGCATATTCACCTGTTTTACACATTTTTACATAATAGCAGTGAAAGGATGTTCATTTGTCTACCTGAGGAACTGTATATTTTGTCCTCTTTCTTTGTCCGTCATGTTTATAGTGACTATTATCTATTATTCAGTTTATCAGCGTATACGATCCAAAAGCTACTTAGGCCTACACATCTATGACTTCTATCCTATCTATCTTCCCTACCATCTTCAATAAAAGGAAAACAACTGTTGTTCACCCGATGGTGGCCTTCTATTTGATCAACCCCTCTCTTGTCTCAACCCGCATTTTTGTTAACTCATGTAAGACACATCTAGACATTTCCTGCAGATATTCAATTATAATTTGTAGGCCTGGTCAAAACGTTGTAGGAGGATGGATTGATGTTAGGCGCAATTTCGATTCAGCCAAGGGGGCGCTTTTCTCATCATCTTTAATTCGACGAATACAAGTTGTTGTTTACTCGGAGATGGTCCCTGTTTATTTAATCGGCCCTTTTCTCGTCTCCTCCGTTATCACTCATGTAAGACAACATCCAGGAATTTCATGCATGACTAGATATTCAAATATATTTACAGAGCTAGTGCAGACACTGTTCTAGGAGATTCCCCCCCCCCGGGGGGGGGGGGGGGACTTTAGGAAACTTGTGGGTTCGTGCATTCATTTCCAGTATGTGATTCGCTTAGATTTATATAGAATAAAGAGAAAATTGGGAAAGGCTTGCAGACATTTTGGGGCGCTATAACCGAGCCCCACTCTATAACTGCTATTGGGCAAAGTAAAATTGTTGCAATGGGACTGGTAATTTTAGGGGCAACAGCCAGTGACGTAAGGTGGATCAAACCCTAGAGGGGGCACTTGTATCATAGGGGAGAGGAGGGGGGGGGGGGGGACTGGTATTACCCCAGTGGATGAAATTCGCATCCGTGCGACCGATTAGGGAACAGTGAAGGAGGGGGTCCTAGCATCTTCTTTTCTCCATCTCCCAGTTTACACTAACTCTTATCTCATTGTTTTCTTACCGCCCCACTTTTTTTTCAATTCCGTGAGGACACGTGCTCCTGACCCCCATACCTATACACTAGCTACTGTCCTGCTCATTGGCGTATCGAGAGGGGGGGGGGGGTGTTTTGGGTGTTCAAACACTCCACCCCCCCCCCCCCCCCGCTTATTCACCGGCTGGTTGATTCACCACTAAAGATTTTCTTACGAATTGGGCATAAAAACACATCCCCTTAAAAAAATCCAGGATACGCTCTTGGTCCTGCTACACTTTTGCCATTCTATGAGGACACGTGCCCTGGCCCCACGTTCCTATGCAATGGGTATTATCAAGTCTCGTGTTTTTGTAATTCCATGAGGGCATGTGACCCCATCCTCACGTTCCTACGTACACAACTGGGCATTTTTTTAAATCTCGTTTCTCCATTCCATTAGGCCACGAACCCCATGTCCTCCTTTAGCTTCATCAGCTATAGGCTACTATAAACAAAACAACATTTTCATCAAACAAACGCCTTATTTTCGCAAATCAAGCGAACCTCATCGATGATACATTGTGTCTCGATCCTAAGTTGTCTGTATATCCAATAACGTCTGAGCCGGGATTAGACACGGTACGGTTTCCCTGAGAAAAAGAAAAGCAACAGTCATCATATAGCTCGACATTTTGAAGAATAGATGCACGGGGACAAAAACCTTGTGAGTCGGTGCGCAAAACAAAAATGTATACACGGAGTGACTATGCAGACTGGCATGCCTTTTTATCGTTAAAAAAAATTATTATTCTCCTTTCTCCTCCTC